TTGCTAAAAGGGAGGATTCCCTTGTGATCAACTGACAAGGCAGCCCCATATAAAACCATACTGCGTTTCTGCCCGACCATCTCCAGTTTAACTGTTCAACCTCTTGAGGTGCTTTGGGGTGACAACCTAAGGCAGCATTAGGGTGCCACTGGGAGAATTCCCAACTGCCCAGTGAGAAAAGAGGAATGATTGAGGGGATGGAGGGGCGCTGACACTACTGACCCAAGAACAGCTCATGTCCTCTTGTTTGCACCTGAGCCTGGCAGGTTTACTAGGCTCTTATCTACTCATCGTGTTACTGACCTGGGAGATTGGGATAGTTAAATGCGACTTAGAGGTGAGGAGATGAGAGAGAAGGAGAGAAGAAAATAGAAACAGTGAGATAGGAGAGGAAAAGCCGAGAAAAGCAATGGCAGGAAGAGAAGGAAAATGAAAATAAATATAGATATCCAGGTTTGGAGAAAGGGAGGTGTAAGGGGCTAACTGAAGTCACTTAAAAAAATAATTGGATTAAATCAATTCCTCTCTCTCCAGTTCATGTTCACCTCTTTTTCCTATTTCTCTCCCTCTCCCTTCTTTCTGTTTTTTTTTTCTCCCAGACATGCTGGTAGCTAACATTCGGCATTAGTTGCCATGGTGACCATAAATCACATAAATCCAAAAATACCCACCTATAATCTGAGATGAAGCTTTTATTTCCCTAGCGAAATAATATTTTAAAAGCTGTCAGCTGACAAAAAAAAAAGGAACCCACCTCATTGTAGTAACCTTAGTAATGTATTACTCTAAAGATTTAAATTAAAATGTCAGCGCGCCCAAAACATGCTGGGAGAATCTTGGGCACTCCGTGTCAGATCCTCACAAAGAAGTTGCCTCCATCACTCCCGATGGTTCTTCAATACAGGCACACACTTGTGCCGGTGCTTGCTCCAGTGTTTTCTTCCTTCCGCCTAACTGCTTTAGTCTCAATGGACTCTAAAGCACTGGTTAGTAAGAGAAGGGAGTGTCCTGTTGAGGCTTCTTAGGGACCTTTTGTGTTGCACGTGGGTTGTTAATCAATTTGGGGGTGGGCGATCGTTGGATGGCTTTTGGGTGGGTACATCTTAAAGAAGTTTAGTGGAAAGAGAGAAGAGCGGGAGAGAGCAAAGCTACATTCGGGAGGACTGAGCAGTCAAGCGTTTGCATTAGCAAAGCCCAGAAAGGGTGGGTCTCACCTCCTATCCCTGCCTTCTTTCCCAGGGGAAGAAACTTTTCCAATTGAAGTCTCTGGGGAGGGGCCTGCGGCTGCAGTTGAGCCTTCTGTCTCCTAACCTGGGCTTGTTGTCTTTTGCCTATCTTGGATTACAGGGTATTCGCCTAGATGAAGAGCCATTAATTACCCATTCAGTCAATATTAGGAAGACGACAAAGCTTTTTACATAGGATTAAGAAGACATCAGATTGTTCCATTAGTATATTCCTGCTCACGAATAAGCTTTCGTTATACATTTCCTTTTCCCCGGAGTCGCTCTAACAACTGCTGCATATATTAACAGCAGTCTGTGCCGAGAGGAACAGCCTAAGTGGTCTAAAGAAACTTTCCGTGAGAATAGAGGCGGCTGGGAGGAACGCCACCTGCAAAGAACGCTCGCTCGCCGGCCACCCCGATCATCAGGGACTAACTACCTGGACATCTGGTACCAGTTCCCGCTGGGGTTGGGGGTTGGGAACCACAGGCAGAGAGGCGGTTTCTGCCCAAATACTGCAGGTTTAATGGTGGTGGAGGTGGTGTCCAGTGGGGGAAAGAAAGTAGGTAACCGCCACCACCCAGTTCTCCTGTCGCTTTGCTTTTCTCAAGCCCCAGGTCTCCTGGGGTCAGCACCTGTATCTGCCTCCTACTCACAGCCAAGATTACCCCTCTTTTCCACAGGTGACCTTTTTTTTTTCTTTCCTCATGGCTCAGATCCCTGACGCAGGCATCACCATTTTGCATTTTTTGCTACAGCAGGTTTAAGTGGCTTTCGTCAGAAAGTTTCCCATTGAAGTGGCTTCATAATGGCCAAGAGAAACCGAATCGTTTGCGTTTGTGGCTAAATTAGGAGTCCACACAGATCGAGCTTTGCCAAGGTTTTCTGACTGAGTGGGGACCAAAGAGGGAAATTGTGCCCAGTCGAGGACCAGAGTTTACCCATACCCTTCAAAAAGAATTGAGCTGGCACCCTGGGAGATGGGGCATGCGGGGACACTGCATATCAAAAGTGATCTTAGCGTTTCCTTGCTAGGCGGGGAAAATCTGGGGCTTGGTGCAATCAGAATACTTTTAGCTCAGCTAAAACTATTTAAAATTCAATGGCATGGCTGAGGGTAGGGGGAAGTGGGTGAAGTACCGGCCGCCTGTCCCAGGGCAAACTGGACAGGCTTTGAGGCCAAGCGGGCAGCGCTGTGGGCTTTCCGCTGCCGTACTCTACAGCAGCGATTCTCAAACATTCTGCTCTCTGTACTCTTCCTGAAGGTCAAGACCAATTTAAGAGTTCCTAAAAAACTCCGAGAAGTCCTCAGCTGGCCTCTGGTCCCTTCTGAAGTCCTGGCCAAAATACCTCCCTCTCCTGGTGCCGGGCCATCTCTCCACTCACTCACTTTCTCAACTCCTATACTGCTTCCAGTTTCGAGATTTGAAGCTGATGGTGGTCTTCTAGGAACCTGGCTTAGGTCAGGTGAGAACTGGGGTCTCCCTTAAGGAGCACAGGGTTTTGAGGGAGGAGAGGTAGGTGCCATCATTGACGATCACGGCTCTCTCTTTGTCATTGCATGCCATTTAAAAACATGCTTTCCTTTTTTCAAATAAAAGAAACCTTAAACGTACAGAAAATAAATCCGAATTAGAAGTTTGCATTTTCCATAAATTATTTTTATAATACCTAAAAGGTACTTATCTCTGTAACCCCTCCCCCAGCAGTGACTGGGGGCTTTGCTTACTTGTGTATGACATTTTTCGATCTATCCTCTCTCTCTCTCTCTCTCTCTCTCTCTCTCTCTCTCACACACACACACACACACACACACACACAAAACCAGTAAAATTATGGTGTTCAGTTCAGTATCTCTTCCCATTACATGTCTCTTTTAAATGAATGCCATTAAACACATTTGAACAGCAATTTTTCTCGTCGGCCCTTAGAAAAACAGATGTTTTGGTAATGTGGGGATTTCATACAAGCTCTAAAATAATTCGGCCTCCAAGTAAAGGCTTCTCTCTCTCTCTCTCTCTCTCTCTCTCTCTCTCTCTTTCTCTCCTCCTCCTATCATTTTCTATTTCCTTTCTTTCCCCTATTATCAAAAGCGAATGCCAGGGCACTTGGCAGTGGAGACTCCGTAGGCTCTGGACGCGTTCTGCCCACCTACAAGGACCTTATACCACCTACGAGGACCTTATCCCACCAAGGACTCTTTGAAGGGGTTCTTAGTCTATCAGCTCAAGGCGGCCACCTAGCCTTAGAAACAATTCTTTGGGTCAACGAAATCAGGGTTGGGGGTGGGGTCGAGGCTTCGGGTCACGGGTTGCAGGACGTAACTTGCCCTCTGTAACGCGGAGGCCGGCCCGCCCCCTGCGAAGTCAGGTTTGAGCTCCCCTGGCCCGGTCAGAGCCGAGGCCGAGCTTGCACAAAGCATTCTCACCGGGAGTCATCGCTGCTCTTGATTTTTAACCATATCCCAAACATTCTCCGGTCTAATAATTTATTTTTACGACCGATTATCAAACAGAAGAAGAATTTAACACAATCTTAATGACAGAAATCACCCGACATTATCTCTGCATTGCCCCTATTTAACCCCTTGGGGTTAATCCCGGACAAGTGAGCGTTTAACTGGCCCAGCAGGATGACTGGGGATGTGTGCAGTGTCCGGCGGCGAAGCTGCAACTTGTCTTAGGCGGTTTATTTCAACAAACGCTGCTTTTCCTCTCAGAAACGTGAAGAAAGCCTTTGTTTTTTCTTTTTTTTCTTAGTAATACTTTTTGTTTACTTCATGGGAGTTCCAAATTTCCCCTCTGGCACACATTACCTTGTGTCCTTACTCTTTAATCCGGAAGGAGGGGGTTAGGGGCCCGAAGGCTGTGGGGAGTTTTATCTCCTCACACTATCAAAGGTCAACAACCTCCTACGGTTGGGCACTTACTTATTACGGAGCCTGGAAAACCCGGAGAACAGAAAAACCATAAATTGGCATTTTACATGTATTCCAAATGAAGGCCTCTCTGTCTCTTATTTACACAATACGTTATCTAAGGACACGTTTCTACTTCTCCAAGGCCTTGGCTGTGTGTGGGAGACATTTTTTAACCTTTTACCCAAGCCTGCCGACTGGTCTAGGATAAAATCAGCCAACCAAGGAACCACATCATCCAAGCCCAAGACCTAGAAGCTAGTACAGCAGCTGGGCTCTCTGACAGCTCGCAATCCCAGCGGCCCCTGTGTGCGGCGCACAGTTGCTGTCTCGGCCTCTGCAGGGCTGTCGTCCTAACCCAGACCCTCCAAAGCGAACCTTCAACACAACTTTGCAGCCTGTGCCTGACGCGAAAAAAAAAAAAACCAAAAAAACAAAAAACAAAAACTGCACCCACCCGCCTGGGTGGGGCATGGCAGTGAGCTTCAGGGACCGGGTGGGCCCTGGTGGTGCTGCGTGCAGTGGGACCGGGCGAGCGACAGAGGTCGCTGTTGGACCACTTTGCACGCCAGCTGCAGCCGGTCGTGGTAGGCTGGGGCGTGCGCAGGGGATCAGACCACAGGGAGAGAGAAAAGGGAGAGGTGTTGGGTCTCAGGAGTGCAGTATAATTTGTGGAAAGGAATTAAAGTCCCTGGGTCGGCTGCTTCGCGTTCTACCCAGAAGCCAATTGTCTAAGTTCTGCAGCGGGGACACACCGGCTCTAGCAGCTTCGCCCGCCAGGGCTTCACCGGAGGCCCAGAGTCCCGGAGGCGGGAGGCGGGAGCCGGGCGCGCGGCCTGCGCTTCCCTCCCCCTTACCATTGGCGCCGGGATGCTGCCGCGGGAACAGCTTGCTGCTGGCTGCCTCTTTCCGGCTCTCGGGAGAGTCCGTGAACTCGACCTTTTTGATTTCGGAGTCTTTGGAGAAGAGACATTCAACAGCCGCCGGCTGCACGCCTGGGCCACGAGTGCGCGCGCCCCACGTGCGGTGGCAGGGGATGCCAAAGGGCGGCGGAAAGGCGCCCCGGGCAAGGGCCAGAGTTAGGGGGATGAGGCCGGACGGAGGAGAAAGAAGGATAGAGAGCAAAGACCCCGTTAGAGAAAGACCGACCGCATGCCCAACCCTCGGAACCCCTGGCAACCCAGTGCGGGCGGTGAACTGTCCCAATGCCACCCGACCGGCAGCCCGGAGGAGTGTCGGGGCAGGCCTTGTTGGATCACCTGAGCCCAGACCTCCCCCAAAGGACAAGGCCTGGGCTGGCCTGCTAGTCTGATTTCCTTTTTGGATAAGCCCTCTGGAGAAAGCTCTAGTTGCAGGGGGCCTCCCTACGGAGCCCCTGCCTCTCGCCGCCATAGCTTGGCGCAGTCTCCCTTCCAGGGACCCCGGCAGAAGAAGTGGGCTCTTACCTAATTGTACACAGGCCGACACTAGTTTGCGACAATTGGTCTCCATTCCCTGTTATCTGCAAAACAGAAGAGAGGCACGACTTTGAGAAGTGGTGGCCATCGGGAGCAAGAGGCTCAAAGGCCGCTACTTGTGGGGCGGTCAGGATCAGCTCCAGCTGTTAACCGCCTACTAGATGCTGGGGTTCAGGGGCGCTTCTTCCGCCCTAGAGCCCCTGGGAGCCGAGCAGCTCTTCCCAGCCTCGAATTCTGGACTCGCACCGATGTTTACCTTGAGGGATTTATGGAAAGGCCCAGAGGTTAGAGGCCTTTAAAACTGCGGGCTTCTGGAGAAGCTGCGGGGAGTATGTTCAAGGGCGCCTAGGAAGGAGAACAACCTTAAGCTTATACACAGATTGAAGGTGGGCAGAATGGACCTCTCTTCAGAAAGATCACCATTCAATACGGTGCTAGTCAGTCTGAGCTTAGCAAACATTTACAGAAAGCCAGAAACAGCTTGACCGGTCCCCCCAAAAGCAACTTTCTCTCCGTTTTCTGTAATTTTGAAAGAAAGGGAATCTCGGCCAAGGGTGCTCCAAGAGCGAGCTGAATTAGGGCCTCTCATCCACCAGGAGCCGCGTTTCCATATTTAGCCACACTTTTCCCTAGAGGTACTCATCCAGCCATTTATTTACCCTAAAGTATGATTTAAGATCGTAGAGCTGAGATACACGATGGGCTGAAGGAGACCGGAGACCCGGGCAAGCGTTCTGGAGGGGCCGCCAAGTCCAAAGCAACAGCATTGGGGAGGCTGCTCCTCCAGTTTCTGCCTTTCCCTGTCTCAGGCAAGCTAGATCCTTTTCAAATTTCCAACCGCAGCTCAGACAGCCAAGCTTTTGACGCGGCCCCTTTTCTTTGCCACAGGCAAACCGGGAGAGGTGGGTGGCGGAGGGCTAGAAGGAGTGGTTGCTTTCAAATCAAGAAAGGAAAGAAGACGCTGGGCTTCTCAAGCCCCTTGAATCTCCGCTCCTGACTCTTGCTAACCAGGGTACGCCTGCAACCGGAGGGTCCATTTCTCCTAGAGCCCAGGGCCGGAGATGGGAGCCGGCTTTGCCAGGCTGGTCGAGGGGGCAGAAGCAGGCCTGGGAGCAGTGGGCCGAGTTTTGGCCAGAGTTGCATTTCCACGCTCCTCAGCCTCCACAGGCTCTAGGGGACTCTGGCCAAGGTCGCACTGCCTGGAGGAGGGGCCGTCCGCTGTGGAGGCCTGGGGATCCAGGAGTGGGGAGCCACACGCACTTTCCCCCCCACATGAGCTAGTGAGCGCCGGGGTGGGGACTCTGCCGATCCTTGTGGACCCGTGGGCCCAGAAGTAGCAGTTTGGTGGCTCCAGATTTAGCGATTCTGCAGTAAAATCACAGGATTAGTCCCTGATTGAGATGTCTGTTCGGGAGATATTACAAAATTCATTATCACAGCTTTCTACTAACTCGATATGAAGTAACACAGATGGGATTTTATTAGTCCAGACTTCAAATGTTTACTTATGATAATTTCGAGGGAAATTTGCATGTCATCATCATTTCGATAATCTTTTTTTTTTATATGTCTGAACTGGCTGCATTATTAGCCGGTAGCCACAGCACTGCAGATGGCAACTACAGACAGTTTTATTTATTTATTTTTTTAAGGACTGAAATACACAGCAGAGAGAGAGAGAGAGAGGCCTGATCCCTGGGTGTAAAGTCAGTTCCTACACGTTCTCCCCTACTCTCGTGCTTTGGTGTTGAAGACCAAACAAAGCCATAGGAAGCAAACCTCCAAGAAGGGGTAGACTTCAGCCCAGGAATGAAAAGAAGATCAAGACAGTGTTCCTTAGTTCTCTGCGACATGCCCTCGTGACTTTGAGATGCATTTTTGCAGCAATCCGAGTCCTGAGTCCTGAACTTTAATTTTATGCTCCATGTAATGACCAGGCCTAATAAATGGGCTGAGTCGAAATAATTGAGGGAGATTTTTTTTTCTAAAAAGAGAGACGGTCAAGTCTTATCTGCTGATACTTAAACTTGTCCTATCAAGGCCGCTAACGTGTGACCAATTTCACTGCCAGATTACAACAATGGTTTCGATGGCTAATCTCAACATTGTAGATAGGAGACTCTCCCTGATTTGAAGTTATTCTCATGCCAGAAGTTCACATTCTGGTTGGAGTTTGTATGCCAAGCAATCTGGCTTGGGTCAACTTCCATTCTATACCATGATCATGTTAAGAAGCACTACACAGCAATCAGCACGCCCAGTACCACCCTCGCCAGACAGTCAGGCAAGCCCTCAGACATAGAGCAGTTTGCTTACAATTAATTTCTCGTGAGCAAACGTCAGAAGGAAACCGTAGAAGAAACCACGGTTCTAATCATTCAAAAAAAAAAAAAATCCTGCCCCACTTCACCCCTTCCCGTTTACTTTCTTATGCCAGAGCAGAATCATTTCATGGAAAGCTGAAAAATAAAAAAGCATGAGGCCATATGTTTTAAATGAACTAAATTGGTGTGATTAGCCAGTAAATTAATTTGCAGTGGGTAATCATTTAAGGAAATTAAGACACCACTCTAAGACAGCTCTGCATTTTGCCAGGGCCTACCTTTAAAGCTCTGTGGAATCTGTACTTCTGGAGCATTGGAAGGGGCAGCCGTGCTCAACTTACAGGACAAAGCAGGGCAATAACTTAAAGTAGTTTTGCTGAGGCCAAGCAAAACGTCCCTTAAGCGAAGTAACTGCTTAATTTTTTTAAACTGAAGCTTGATTATAGAAATTCCACGCTCATTTTCAGTCACATGAACAAGAAGACAAATCCTTAATTTCATTTTGGTTACGAGCTTTATTTTTGTGAAATTATTGGCATATGCATTTTTGGTGAAGTTGCCTTCAAATGATAGTTGATTTGATTAGAACATCTTTAGTTGTGATTAATGGTCTGAAAAGGATACAAAGAGACCTCTTAAAATCAGGTTACTTGTTTGTTAAAATAGTTTAGAATGCACGAATGCCTACATTGCAATTCATAATAGCAGAAGTTTTCCTGCATTTTAATTTGTCATAATAAAATACAGTACTCCTACGTAACAGAAAGAAAATGTCCCAGGTGCTCGGACATTTCGATTTCTAAATTGTTTTGGGAAGGTGATTAAATTGGAATAAAAATACCCTATTTTCCCCGTTTGGAATCGCATCTTTTAGTTAGTTCCCGGATGCAAAACAGTTACCTCCGTGCATCCAGTTAAAATGCATCTCCTGATGTAGAAGATTGTAGTTGACTGGTGATCAATTTAAAGGATTTATAATCCGAAGTAATTGTGCGGGTTTGGCATCGAGGCCTGGCTCCCAGGTAATTCGCTTGGGCCTGGGAGGTCACTAACTGCCAGTTAAGATGGAATCTCTTTTTTCCAATGGGTAATGATGGGAAGGGACTAATCTATTCCAGTAGCTGAAACTTTGTAGCCGGCCCTTTATCTTGGGTCAGCTAATCCTCGGCCGGAGGATTTCTCCCTATCCTGTGGGCATGGAAATTTCAAAAAAGATGTCTCGTTTTTTAATGCCAGCCATGTCTGGCTTCCCCTAGACTTCAACACCCGGCGGGATTGTTCTAGTGTTGCGCCTGAAGACGAAAAGGAACAGGGCTCTGCAAGATCTGTTTGCCCACTGCACTACCTCGGGAGAAACAAGCCCGGAGAGCCACAAATCACACAGGGCGGAGGTTCTCCAAAGTGGAACAAATTTCCAGACTCGCATTATCTCACAGCTCTGTGGGAGAGAGGGCCTCCACTTACCGGCTACTGGAGAGAGCGGCTGTCTCCGCGTCCCACCGCTTCCCAGGGTGACTGCCAGGCGGCGGAGGCTCGGGCTGCACAGCCCGCGCCGTGGAGCGGGCCTGGGGGGGGAACCGCCCGGATCGCGAGGTGCCAAGTTCCGAGAGGGTCTATGCAGGGGGCTGTGAAAGCTAGCGGACGCGGACAGTTTCTGTCTGCTGCTCTCCAGCTTTCTCGCTCGGTCTCGCACTCTCTTTCCCCTCCCTTGCTCTCATCCCTCTCTCTTCCCTCGGCTCCGACTCCGTGTGCGGAGTGACGTGACGTCAGCAGAGATTCCACCAAACTCCAGTGAACAGTGGCGCGCGGGCGGGCGGCCGAGCCTGTTGTGCGCTGGGCGATCAAGGAGAGAGCACAGCGCTTGGGCCACTGCGGGGGGAGCGTGCAGGGGCGACCGAGGGGGACGCGGAACGACGCGGGTTGGGAAGTGAGGCCCTTGGGCCGGGGTGGCTGAGGCCTGGGACAGAACCCCGGGGGAAAGGCAGCCGAGCAGCGGGGTGGGAGCTGACCCAGTTGCAAAAACGAACACTCCAGCTGGGGAAGGGGGTAACGAAGAGGGAGGATAGGACCGTAGGGAAAGTAAAGGATCGCGCATCAAACCCCAGGTCCTTCTAAATCTGAGTAGGAGGGCCAGAGCCTGGGGAGTCCGTATACCCGCGCGCTGAGCAAAATCTGGAATGCTTAGGAAGAAGGGACAAGGAAAGTGGCCCAGGGTATGAAACAAAGGGCCGTGTGCCTTGGTTTGATCCGTGTGATGCTTCGGGAGAGTGGGTGTGTGAGCGCGTGACCTCCTTTCGGGCCTGCAGAGTCCAGGCACAGAGTGACTGCAGGGACTGTGGGAGGGAAGGGAGAGATCCACAGAGGGCAGCAGCAGAGGTGGGTGGGTGAATGCGGATGCTGTGGGGAGGAGGAGATGACTGTGAAGAAGTTGGAAAAATGGGGTGAGCTAGCAGAAGGTGGGAGGACCACAGCAGACACACACACATACACACACACACACACACACACACACACACACACTCTCTCTCTCTCTCTCTCACACACACACACACACACACACACAGAGAGAGAGAGAGAGAGAGAGAGAGAGAGAGAGCGATCATCAAAGAAAGGCCTGGACTGTCACCGAGGCAAGGCTAGGGCACGGTGTCTGAGGTCAAGGCGGGTGGATCCCAGCACTCCTGTGAGAGCGCAGGTAGTAAGGGCCACAGGCCTGCTCGAGTTCGGGATGGGATCCACTGCTCAAGGCTGGGACTCTCAGAGTCTAGAATTTCCTCTGCTGTACCTACACTCAATAAGTTCACTCCGGGTCACAGATATCTCATTTTTTAAAATGACGAGGTTAAGGTTCCTGACTGAGGGTGGTATTAAATTGCATGGGATGGGGGTGGGGAAGAAGGAGGAAGTCCCCCCCCCCACACACACACGTGTGAGCGTTTGCTCTTAAAAGTCTGGAGTACTTAAGGTTGCTGGGGCCATTCCTACTCCAAAAGTGTGTCCTACTTCTAAATCCTTATTTTCTGATTTCCGAAGGAGCCTGTATTTTGGTACCGAGCACAGTATTTTGCCCGGGTCTTGTCTTTGGGTGGAAGGACTATAAATATGACTCGCTTGGAGGACCAGGTGTGAAGGCGGCTGCCAGGCATCTGGGACAAATTTCTGTCGATCTCAAGGTCATCCCGTCAATATATGTTTTAGGAAAGTATCAGAAAACAGCCGTGCCTCAAGAGTTCGCGTTTTCTCGCCAATATTAATCCTTGCTTGGGAACAAAACCCAATCAGAGCCGGCTTTGAGGCTCATTTCCCCCTTGGTCCCTAGTAGGAGACAAAGTTCCCTCTCAAATTCACACTGCTCCTCCGAAATTAGCGCACCAATTCCTGTAACTTGAGGAAAATGCAATGATTCCTCTGAAGAATGCCCCTGGGAGGTGTGCAGGAGGAAAGCTAACCCAGGGCTACCGCATACACGCTGAGCTTTCTCTGAATTTGGGGGCTGTCTGGAGTATGTTCTATGTTTTCTTGAATGACTCCGTGTTTTCAATTCATTGGTGTTAGCAGTAAAAACAGGCAAACAAACTTGCTCAATTTGTTTTGAGTGCCAAATCCCTTCACTTTGAAACAGCTAACAGTCGACAGATGGACTCATTTTATGGAAGGAGTCAGCCTCTTCAACCTCGAAGAAAAACTGAGGAGAGAGTTGCATTCTAAGTCACCTCTAACTTGTAACACCCAAGAAAACCCAGACTTTCTATTCGTACCCAATGTAAGTGCAACCCAGTGTTGTTTAGGGGACAGGAAATGCCGGGTGGCGGGAGGGGGGGGGTAGCCATACTCTATTTTATTTCTCCAGTGAACCTTCTGAAATAATTTTTAAAAATTAAATATTTTCAATAAATCCTCCAGCTGAACTCTGATCTCACCTCATCGGAACATGTCCTGGACAACATTTTCATCTCTGTCCATCCACAATTTTTGCTCCTCAACCTCCTAAATAATGAGCTAAGGTCCCACTTCCCTTCCCCCACTTCCTTTGGCATTTTACAAATTGAGAGGTGCTTATAGTAGCTCAGGCTGGCTGGGGAATTTCACAGAAGAGAGGGATGAACGTGAAAATCAAGACCGGCCTGAGATCTGAGAAGAGAAAGAAACTGTGCTAGAGAAACTCACAGATCTGCCCAGGCTCCTCTTTCCTCACTTTCAGGATCCTGTGCTTTGCAGGCAGGGCTCGGGGGAAGGGGCGAAAGAGCCAATCCACCCTCCCTTGTCTGTCGGGAGTCACCCCCCCCCCACACACACACACTCTGCCTGGTTAACCCCAGTCCCGCAGGCTGCAGTCCCTTGGTGCTGAGCTGGGTCCTCCGCATCGCCCAGCACCAGTGCAGCTGAAGTGAGCAGCTGGTGGGAAATGCAAATGGCTCTTGGAGAAATAGAAGATCCAGAACGATTCTCATTCCCTCCTCGAGTGTGGGGAAGGAGCTGGACATACGTTTCACGCTCCTAATCCTTCTTCTACATTTTCAGTCATACTCCCATTAAACAACTAATTAATGCCCAGAACCACCAGGGAATACATTAGGCATGCAGCAGGGAGGCAGGGTGCTGGGGGTGGGTAGGGGTGGGGAACAAACCACTGAGCTGATTTAAGACGTGGATTTCAGGATTTTTCCCCCCTCGTCAGAGCAGCAACGCCAGAGTGGGCCACAGCGATTGTATTTAGATTCTGATTGCTACTTCGAAGTAGAAGGGGTTAGAGGGAGTGTCCAAGGCAAGCGAGCAATTCTCTGCCTTGCAGATGTAAACAAGATTGTAGCATCAAAGGTACTAGCTCCTTAAGGGCTAGGTCGTCTGGACCGGGAGCCTGGGCTTCGGAGACACTGACCTATGTATCTGTGAATTTCAAGGATGTTACACTTTTACATAAACAACTCCAGTGTGAGAGCCTGGTAATCCCTGGTTTAAAAAAAAAGGAAAGAAAAGAAAAGAAAAGAAAGAAAGCACCTTCCAGTGTATCTTGACAGTACACCACATCTTTAAGCTTACATACATCCCTTTTACTTTTCCCCCCAAATCTGAGCTATAGCTAAAGATAACAGAAAGCAAGGCATTGAACCATTTCCTTCAGTCGTTTCTGGTTTGATGATCAGATTTAAAAAGGAGGGGGGAAGCAAAGAGGATATACAAACGGTAGAAGTCAAGCGCAGGAGGAGGGGGCTAACTTCACTGCCTCAGATCATTTTTAGGGAGATTTTTAATTTTATTCCTCCCCAACAATGTTTTAAAGCAACCATCAGGGTTGTGACACTGGACACTGAAATGGGAAACTTAGAGAAGTTTCTGTGACCACAGAGGGCAAAACCAAGGACAGATATGGGGTGACCCCAGGCAACTGACTTATTCCAATCAGGGTTGAGAAAAGGCACAATATTCTTTTCATCCCTTCTCTGATGGGCTACAAGCTACCAATTTACTTTCTTCAGTCTTCAGTTTTGGCAAGCAATTACCCCAGCTCCTTTATCTGACGACAAGCAAGTATGTAAATACCGATGGCTGGTGATGCTTAACCGCCCCACAAATTATGGATCTGTTGGTGCTTCTAAATTTTCTCCCCGGTCCAGATCTTGTTTCGAATTATCTGAGAGGTTCGATCAGTGTTTTTGATGCTACAGTATAGTAATTGTTGTTTGTAAAAAGGCATTTAAGATGAACTGATTGATTTGCATATAAATTAAAATTATTATGCATTGTCTCTTCCTTTTTTTATAATCATTTTGAAATTACTCCTTAACCACTTGAGCTAAAAGAATATATAAAAGTCTGTATTGACTCACTAATGAATTACCTAATTAAAATGTCTGGGGGAATGCTGTGTTAAATCAAGACCTATTAGGAGGAGGATGGAGACTGGAAGATAACACACCAGTATCTAGAATTCCGAATCGTGGAGTCTTGAGTTTTACTTAATTTTACAGTACAGGTCTTGCTCTGTGTTTAGTGATTTTGTGTTTGTTTGTAAATAAATGAAGTGGAAAAGAGAATGCCATTGGCCGCAGTGTCTCTGGCCCTTTGCTCCCTCTGGAACCCTCTAGTCCTAACCCAGAAGCGCTCGCTACTGCGGGAGAGGCTCTGGCCTTTCACCGAAGTGCGGGGTCTTCTCGGGTCTGCAGACCAAGCTGCTCCGGTGGTGGGGTCCCGCCGGCAGGCCTGAGAGAACCGCAGCGCTGCTTTCAGCGCGATCTGAGAGCTGGAGCCAGCGAGGACATTTAATAGATAAACTAACTGAGCATTCACCTTCGTCCCGAGACTAGGAATAAAAGGTAACTCATCTTAAGAGGGGGGGTGTGTGCGCAAGGCACGCTATAGGAGTTCAGAAAAGGCAGGCGGTGGGAAATCTGTAGCCTGGGGGCTCGCCAACATCCCCTTTCATTTCAAGCACTTATCGATTTGCTGTTGTCATCTTTGGCGACGCAGAAGGACACTTGAAAGAATTTCTGATGGGGCTCTGATCTGAGAAAGGAGGTGACCTGCCTAGGCTCCCTCCAAATTGTTAATTACCACATCAACTGCTTTTTTCCACCCCCCCCCCCCCACCACCCTACCTCCTTTCCCCCATGACAACCAAGTTTGCTCATTCTTAACTTTCTAATTATTCAGAAACTCCCTTACCTCTCGGTGGCTTCGCTTCTTCAGCAATGTTTCCGTTCGACCCCGTCTCCTTACCGCGGTGGGGCCTGTCTATTGATCTCCCTGACCTTTGGCACATCTGGGCCCTCTGAAATCTCTCAATCTTTTCAGATTTGAGGATGGAAGGCTACACCCTCTCCGCCGT